GCGAACGTAGCGAAAATATTATCATCGGCACAGAGATGCGACATGGACGTGAGTCGACAGTAAGAAATGAAGAGACGGGCGTGATGGGCAAGGAGGATATACATAGGGAGAGACGATGAGAGAGAGAGAGAGAGAGAGAGAGAGAGAGAGAGAGAGAGAGAGAGAGAGAGAGAAGGGGGGGAGGTGTTGCAGACTGTTGTCCTATCCAGGTGTTTGTTTGCTGCTGGAGAGGGGGTAAAGTGGTGCTGGGGGCGGGGCGTGCTGGCCGGGTGGTGGGGGTGGCCGGTGCCGCTCCAGCCGCTGGAGGCTGGCCGTCCCTCCCTCCAGCCGTCCCGGCCTCGGGGCTCCAGCGCCCGGCCCGGCTCCGCTCCGGCTCCGCATAACCCAGTCGAACGTAGCGCGGCGCGGACGTGCCAGTGAGTGAGTGAGTGAGTGTGCGCGAGTGAGCCGGTGCATCATCGCGACGTGGATACGATACATGTGCTAGCATGTGCAGCAACGAGACCTCCTCCCCCAGCGGCGTGGGCCCCACGGCCATCCTGCCCTACCCGCTGTCTGCGCTCAAGACCCTCCAGGACGCGGCCGGCAACGGCGGCAGTGGCGGCGGCGGCGGCGGGGGCAGTCCGCTGCCGCCCCCGGGGATGCTCCCCATCGACCAGTACCGGCTGCAGCTCTACAACTACGCCATGGCCGAGCGCCTGCAGCGCTTCGGGCCGGCGGGGCCCTTCAGCCCCGTCCCCGGCGTGCAGCTGTGCCCCGGGCTGGGACAGGGACTGGGGCAGGGCCTCGGACAGGGCCTGCCCGCCGGCTACCCGTACGGGCCGCGCCTCGCGCTCAGCATGTCCCTCTTCCACCAGCGCATGCTGCAGCCCGAGGAGCCCAAGCCGCAGCACTCGTACATCGGCCTCATCGCCATGGCCATCCTCAGCTCGCCCGACACCAAGCTCGTCCTGTCCGACATTTACCAGTACATCCTAGACAACTACCCGTACTTCCGCACGCGAGGACCCGGCTGGAGAAACTCGATACGACACAACCTCTCCCTCAACGACTGCTTCATCAAGGCGGGCCGCAGCGCCAACGGCAAGGGCCACTACTGGGCCATCCACCCCGCCAACGTGGACGACTTCAAGAAGGGCGACTTCAGAAGGAGAAAAGCACAGAGAAAGGTGAGTTGAGCCGCCGGTTGTTTGACGTACAGAACCATGCCAAAGTGATAGTACTGATAGTAAACTAGACACTCAACTAGACATCAATATGGTTCTCAGCGTGAAGGCGCATATGTTTCGCTATAGACCGTTATTGTATTGATTCATGAGTACGGGTTTTTAGCAAGACAGTTCTCTTTCCGCCGTAGTTGTACACATGGCATAAGGTAAATGGGAATATACACAGACAGTACTACTTGCGTTTCGACACAGAATGAATGAGTCAGCGCGCCGTGTCCCAACGACTTATAGTCTCTCCAGGCGTTGGAGTCTCCTCGAATAACTGTCGGGATGACGTGCCGGGTCCGCTTGCACATTTGTCTGTAACTGCCCTGACTCATTCTCCGGGGTAGGTTTAAAGTCATGGCCCTGCACCGGAGGTGCGAATCGAAAAAGATCTCGGCAACACGCCCCGGGTGACCGCGCCCCCGGCCTTTTTATTGTTAATTTTTTTCCTGTACGTAACCTAACCACATCATCTAAGTAGCAATTCACACCCGGCCAGAGCCAATGCCTTTATCCTCTTAACCGCCATTATAATCTACTTCAGAAAAAATTGCAGCCTTGCGGGCTGAGGGCCTCACACCTCTTGAGGTGGGCGGGACAAACCACTTAGGGTCCCCGTCTTCTCCCCCATTGTGTCGGTTTCCACACGTGAACTCACTCAGATGCATTGGCCCTCCTTCCTGCACGCCGCCCCGGTACAGAGAGAAACGCAAACGTATATTTCAATGCTTTCGTCATCGTGCGAAAACTCTCATTCAACGGCCGGTCGTCCTCACAACCGCTTCCGGAAAAGTTTCGGTTTTAAGATATGACTTCAAGGAACAATAATTAAATGGATGGGAACCTACACACGCTGTCGTCAGCCTAAAAACTTGATAATCCGGGTTTGGGTGGGAGACGCTGTATTAAGCAGATAATGGTTAAGCAGCCACTGGAATGCAAACCAAAATCTCCGTGTATTTTCTGCGCAGGATAGGCATAGGGGTCACTTTGAAGGCAGCGGATCAGCGCTTGATGACGTGAGTTGCACAACACAGCCTTACTAGTTTCGACAAAACTCTAGAGATAAAAAAGATCATAATATAGTACTAGAAAACAAAAATTAAGAGCAGCCGCTATGAACCACGCATAACTTTGTGTTGTGTTCCCAGCCGGGGGGATGACAACAAAGATTGGCGAGGTTAGATTAGGTTAGGTGGCCTGTCCTTCTCGGGTGACAGACGACACGCAAGACAACACGAGCCGGGCTATGGGGGCGGCTGGGCATCGCAGATCTTATCGGCCGCCCACCCTGCAGAGCGGTGGGAAAACATTCACCCGATACACCGTGGCGCTGGGCTGGGCCATGCAAACATGATGCCTTTATGCGGTATACCATGCTTACACGTAAACAGCTTTGTTGGCATTACGGTCCGGATATCGAAGGAGAAAATCAATGAATGAGCTAACAGCAGACAAAAACGGGCAGAGAAACATCTGATTAAAAGTGAGGCAACAGTGACAACTCGTTCCTGTTTTCGATTTGGTTTCGAAAGTTAAGTCTGATTTTGTCACAGTTTAAGACGAATATTATAAGTCGGAGTTTTGGCGTTTTTGCGGACTTTACAACTTTGGCAATGGTATGTTGCGAAACAATACCTTTACAAAATACAACACCGAACAAAAATAGCAGACGCGAGGTGCGAAAAGAAAAATGCAGGGTCGTTTTTCATGGCGGCGCGGCGCGGTGCGCGCGTGTCCTGATTGTGTTGCCAAACTGTCGCCGCTCCGCCCCGCGCTCGCACAGCCTAACAAAATGCGGCGCCCGCCATTTGCCGCGACAAAAACGCGTAATACTCTACGGTGAAAATGGGTGAAAAAATGCGACAAGCTGCTCCGATGAAATCTGCTGAATATTCATCGCGGCCCGGGGGCCTCGCGCCGCCGCCGCCGCCGAGCCCGGCGGCATAGCGTGTTATGGGGGAGGCGGCCACGGCGGCCGGTGGGTGGGGCGCTGCGGGGGCGCGTTGTGCCCGCACATCACACCCCACCACCCCCACAACATTAGCCGGCTGAGTCAAAGACCAGCAGCGGCGGCGGCGGCGGCCTCAGCCGCACCGTTACACGTCATTCATTACGCTCGGCTCGTGTTATCGCGCTCTTTGCCGCCCGAACACCAACACAGCACCACCCTTTCCATCTCACCCCCCGCGAGCGCTGCTGGGCCCGGCCGGCGCGGCAGCCCCCGGGTGCATTGGGTGCTGTTGGAATAATAATGCCGCGGCATTCTATTCGCTTGTCCGCCGCGCGCCCCGCCTGGGTGGATCGGAGGCCCAAAATGGCGCTGGCCCGGCCAGAACAATGACGGGCATGAGCTGTTGTGAAACACACGGGGGACACACACACGGGCTCCGCCAGCAGGCCCGCGCGGAGCCACTATGGGCATCCCCGCCGCGCTACAGCAAACCGGTCCCGGTGGCGAGGGAGAGGCCGTGGGAGGGAAGGCAAGGGAGCGAATAAGTGGAAGAGAAATGCGGCAACGGGAGGGAGGCAAAGAATTAGTGCATACTAGAAGGTAAAATTGACAATGAAACTTTGGTCTACAACGCTTGTGGTTTTCTGTGTTTCAGGTGCGGAAGCACATGGGTCTGGCCGTGGACGAGGAAGGAAACGAGTCCCCGAGCCCCCCGCCGACGCCCGCGTCGCCCCCGCTCCCGCCGACCATCTGGGCGGCGCACCAGCACCCCCGCCTCCTGGCGCACGCCGGCACGCCGCTGGGCTCGACGCCCATCCCGTGCCTCGCACGCAAGCGCCAGTTCGACGTGGCGTCCCTGCTCGCCCCGGACGACGCGTCCGACGACCTCGCCCACCGCGTCGGCCTGGCCGCCAAGACGCCGCGCTACGCGAGCAGCGGCGAGGAGGACGTCCACGACGAGGACATCGACGTGGTGTCGAGCGACGCCGCCGACGCCCAGCAGGCGACGCCGCCGATGACGCCCGTCGGCAGCGCGCCCCAGACGCCGACGCCCTGGCCGCCGCAGTCACCCAACGGGCCGCTGTTCATGACGACCGTCGAGCACCACCTCGTGTCCAGGTACTACGAGCAGCTGCAGCACAGCGCCGTGCGCCGCCTGGCTCTGCAGCAGCAGCAACAACAGCAGCAGCAGCAGCTCAGGCAGCAACAAGTGTCGCAGCAGACGACGGAGATCCGGGAGCTGACGCCGAGCCCCAGAGCGAGCCCGCCCGCCAGGGAGCCGACCCCGCAGTGAGAGGCCAGGTGCCCGGCCAGGACTTGTGTTCCACTAAACTGTGATCAGGGGACGCCGCCGACGGTGCGGCGAGCCCCGAGGCCCAGGCGTTTGTGCAGCCGCGCAATGGGTGTTTTGTTATTTCTTTATAAGAGTCCATTTTGAGTCATTCATATGGCGATATGGGAGACACTTTTTTATTTGCATGTAAATGATATATTGTTTATTCCTGATTATGTACCTGAAACCCTGGATTATATGTTGTCTTATTTACCGTTTGTACATTTTGTACGGATCACGATGTGACGAACGTGTTGCCGGCAAAATCCTGCCGTAGGATTAAGGACTTTATTTTATAATTAAGAAGCCTGTTTAAGAGAAATTTCAAGTTAAAGTCTGTTTTCCTGCAGCCGTGACGTGGTCCACGTCTGTATGAATTTTTGACGCGTCGTTGTACGACGACTTAGCTTTACTGTAAAACGAATTATGGAAACCATACCAAAAGAAATCTCGATAGTGATTTAGCTTCCAATTTATTGCCCCAATAAAGCAAAACTGATACTGTAATTTTATTTTGTGCTTGATTATTTTTCATAGACGTATTTAGTCTTAGCATTTCGGTGCCAAAAGCGCGCGGAGCTGCGCTCGAGGTGAGCGCGAGAGGTGCTTCGTCACGGACTCGCCGTCCGGGGCAGGGACACTGCTCCATCCACAATGCGCTTTGCTGATGGGCTGCGGACTCACTCGGCCCTGCAAGACGGAGACGATGCTTATCTTTGCAAAACCATCGAAACACGACGGATTTCCCTCCCGCTCTGTTTATTTTTCTGGCCACCTGAATAACGCGGAGGCGACCTTTTGTCAATTGCCTCCGGTGCTGTCCTCTGCCTCCCGCCACAAGTGTAGTGCACCATTGTCAACCGCTCCAGACCATCAAGTCATCAACGGGCCAATTTGATTAAGTGTGTTATATTTTTTAGCATCCGGTGTCATAGTTAAAGATTACAAAAACAACACCCAAGTCAATACCATAATATAAAATGAACACATTCACATTTTCCCGGAGAAAAATAAAAACGACGAAGTAAAATTGAGCTATTATTTTACTCTGAATGTAAAGGGACAATTTTGTCAACGTTTTCGAGCACATCCAGAAAGGGTTCAATTTTGGACCAAATTTAATCCGTTCTGGATGTGCACAAAAAAACGTTGCCTTTTTTAGGAACTGATTTTTAGGAATTGTCTCTTTACATTTTGCACAAAGTAGTTTTGTTTCTGTCAATGTTCATAAAACTAACACTATTATGACACAGTGTATAAATCTCTCATCTACATAAGACTAAACAATTTTCTGACGCTACTTCCATTCTAAAGAGAGGAGCAATCTCCCATGGACCAGTACGAGGCAATAAAGTTTAACATTTTACACCTACAATATTTGCAACTAGTTTTTTGAGAGGGTGTGCGTTTTGCGGGCACTTCCTGTGCGGGGCCAGTAAATATGTGGGGGGTGCAAGTGTGTGCGAGATGGCTCGAAATGGCAGAGGAAGTACACAGAGCTTACACGGTATTAGCCGATCGCTATCTGCACGAGAACACGGCCGCCCCGACACCGCAGCCACCCCAGCGATGCATTCTAAAGCAATCATCGAATATTGACAGTGATGGGTTTTGCAGTCCGACACCTTCTGGCAGTCCGTACACCCCACGCCCCTCTGGCTGTACGCACGAAGGCTGTGCTCCACACATTAGCCGGACATAGGAGAGGGGGAGATAGACCTTCTTTTCACTTTGTTTCCATGACAAACCAAAAAAATAAATAATAGTAACTTGCGAGCTAAGATTATGGAGATGATGATATGTCAAACGGTGACATCAGATATTAAGTCATAGGTGTAACAAAAAAACATCATACGTCCATGTAAAGAAGTTGATTTTTCAACCAATGAGCAGACAAAGAGCGGAGATTAGGGCATTTCAGTTGCCAGAGCCAGATAAACTATGCCTCGTTTCGTTACAATAGTTTATCTGCCAACTGAAATGCCCTAATCTCCGCTCTTTGTCTGCTCATTGGTTGAAAAATCAACTTCTTTACATGGAGGTTTTAATTGCCCGGTATCTCCACATCTATATCAAGGGGAAATTGATAAACCTGCTTTTACCACTTCCTGGACCAAATTTCGCTCACTTTCAGAACCACGCGTGCGTGGACACGATAGACTGACTTTCTGCCGAGGACGCAGCGCGCGCGCGCGCGCGAGCCGTCCCTTCCTTGCAGCACAAACACAAACCAACACAACACGCCGGGGAGTTGTGAGCACAAATCGGGCGTCGGCGTCGGGCCGGCGACAATACGGTCATCAGCAGCAGCGCGGCGGCCCGGGGGGTGCAAAGGTGGCGGAACGAGGCGAGGCGCGGCGGGACGCGGCGGGGCGCACCGCACACCCGCCAGACCGCGCCACGCCGCGCCGTGATGACGCTACCGACGCGGAAGACATCGCATTAAACTGGGCGCAAGCGCAATGAGCATTAAGCGAAACAGAAACACATTACACGCACAAGATGGCGGCGCGAGAGAGGAAGAAGGGGAGGGAAAGGAGAACGGGGAGGGGGGGGGGGCTTGTGTTGGCGTCGCGCTTGCTTGGGTGTTTGGAGAGCCAGCGCCAGCCCTCGGCAGCAATGGGGGTGAGGGGTGGGGGAGGAGCGGGGCGGCTGAGGCGCCCTTTACCCCCGCCCCGACCCCCCCAAAAAGCGGGTTTTAGTGTCCTACCTTTTGCTGTGACTTCCGATGCCAACAAGATGACCGCAACTTGGCACACCGTGAGTGTTACCGACGTTCTTGGTCCGAGTCCTGGTCCGGTACCGAGTCCCAAGCAGTCCCACACTCCATTGCAGCATCGTGGTTCCGAGGCGAGGACTGCAAGTGAAAAAGAGAAGTAAAGTAAAATGCGAAACTATGGCGCGTCGTGTATTTTCGAGAGTGCCCCAGAGGGGTATTACGGAGCTCCTTGCAAGCGCCTTGCAAATAATGGGTAAAAAAACATTGGGGGGGGGGGCGTTTTCCGGGAGCTCCCCCATCGGCAGAGCGGAGCGGTTCAGATTCGGGCAGGGGGTGCGCCGAGGTGGACGAGGCACGAGGCTGTTTCCGAAGGCCACGCTCAAAATATGCGGTGAATGGATAAGAAAGAACATGATAATCGATAGACATCTGGAGAAGAGGGGGGGGGGGGGAGTCCATCGACTCAGTCCTCCTCAGACACCTCATCGATGAGTTGTTTGAGTTGCCGCTCGCACTCGAAGACTCGAGCCCAGGGTCCTGCCCGGGGACCCACCGCGACGACCGAAAGGGTTTCCCTATTGTATTTGCATGCTGCAGTGGAATGCCGTGGGATGCCACCTGCGCTTTGTTATTGTGGCTCCAGAGACTCCTATAGGGCGCACCCAGGCCTCAGAAGGGCGGGCAAGGAGATACAATTTTTACATTTACGTCATTGAATTGGGGGAACGTTCCGCAATTCTGTCAATATTTATCTTATTTTTAGACAATTTTTATCAAAAACATATTACTATAACATTTTGTTTTCAACACTCTACTTTTTCGTTTTCGGCTACAGTGCGGTGTCGAGACACCAGCCGGACATCCAGCCGACCCTCTGACGGCACACCCACAACCCTTTCCTTTCCCTGCAGGACAGTCGCACACACCAATCGGGCAATATTTATACACACACCTCCCACGCTCGTTATGGAGAAGACTCTCGAGCCGACAGCATTAGGAAATCCGACGGTATTTACTCTGGGCGCGCCACAAGGCTGACTGGAGGGCCCGGAGTCTCTGACAGAGAGGACGAACGGCGGGCCTTGTTTTCATAATATAGGTTACAAAGCAGCGAGGGCTGGCCGATTGTTCGCGGTCAGCCAGAGAGGGGCGCGGCGGGGCGGGGCAGAGCGCGGGGGACGCTTCTCGGCCTCCTCAGCCTGCCTCAAGAGGAAAACACACAACTCACACGTCATTCGTCAGCAAGGGCGAGAGTATAGTATATGCTGGCGGTCGTAGAGCAGTAGTTGTGGTGTGTAGGTGTGTGTATGTGTAGGAGTGGGGAAGGAGAGGAAGAGGTGAAAAGGGAACAGCAGAGATAAGTGAGAACAAACCAGGTGTGTTGCTGTGTCGCACTCGCACGAGGCGAGGACAAATTTGTCGCGTCAAGAGGCCGTATCGTTGGCCTAGGTATGTAGTGGCGATTATTAGCGCGAAGCAAACTCATACGGCTGTCAAAACATAAGGACTTAATTGAAGGACTCCACCAAGCCAAATATTGGCAAAGGAAAGCAGAAGCGAACTGTATGGGCTTCTGTATCAGAGGAAAATACACCTTAAAATGTCGCCAATATTTTGGCGTCATAAGACGCCAACCAGTTTACAGAGGAAAGACTTCGGCCTCGATGACTTCCATCCACCTTACCATAGCATGCCCCAATCAGTCGAGCCATATATATACCGGCACCCTCTAGACGCCGCTAAAAGACGACCATGATGGTAGTATTATTACGACATGAAATAATTAGTTTATCGCCCTCGGCGGCCGCAGGCAGTGCCCCGCAGGCAGTGCCCCGCACTGTGCGGCGCGCACGGAGACACGCGCGGCGACATGGACACGCCCGGGCGCCTGAGTGGAGGGCAAACTCAATTACAAGGGCGACACCGTTTGGTCATGACTCTGCCCGCCCAAGGGTTGTCTCTCTGGCCTTTCCAAGGAGTATAGAGTAGTCCTCTCGCCCGCCTCGACGCGCGCGCCAAAGTTTGAAATGCTTTTATGACGGGGGAGGGCCGTGTGATAGTAATTAGTTAGTTAGTAGCACAGGGGCCGCACGATCAAAAGCGATTTCCGTCACTGAGGGGGG